TGTCGAGCTGCCGTTTGGCACGGCACGGCTTCGCCAATTATAAATCGCCGGCTCGGCCGGATTTGTAAAGCGCGCTCGGACGGATAAAAAAGCGCTGATTGAAATCGAATACGCGCGTACGGCACACGGTGGTAGGTAATTAAATAGACGAAGACGACTGAGCGAATAAGGGACGTATGTCCTTTAGCTGCAACACTTTAATTAATCGAATCAAACTTTAATCTAATTTTATTTAAACATTTCATTTAATTTTGATTAATCTAATCTTAATATTCTAAAATATATTATATATTTTTCTTACCGATATATCTTTACGCATAAATATCCGACAGGAATTCAACGTATGCTTTTGTAAGATACATCTTCGCTAAGTGCAATGACACGAACTGTTCAAATTATCATAGATCATCATATTATAAAAAAAAATTGATATTTCTTGAAAGTAGACAGCGCGTTATTTAAAAAATACAGTTTTTACGAGTATTTTTAAAAGTTTTTACAAGTCATTACAAGTTCTCATATAACGAATATCGAGGTAGACGCTCTTTAAAATTCGTTAGGAAAGAATCAGGCTTTTCTACGATTATATAGAAACAGGACGCCAGCTTCGCAGAGGTTCGCAGCTGGGAAACACGTAGCGACACGAGCGGCGCGGCATTAATTTCCATTAGCGAATATCCAATTTATCGCGGGAGCAAAGGCGACCAATCGGTGAGCGCGGTCGCAATAAACGTAATTATATTTAACGGGGCGCATAAAGGCCTCGATAGATTAGAGGTCTCTCCTTTCCTGCGCTCCCTTCTCTTTCGGCGCGTTTCCAGCCGCGGTATGTTCGCGCAGCGCGGCGCGGTGCAGCGCGATCGTCAAATGGCGCGGCTTGGCTCACGTAATTAGAATATCAATTAATAATCGGGATTAATTTATTCCGCGATTATCGATGTACGTCGCGACGCGACGTGAGCTTTCGTCATCCGCGCGTTCGTGTGCGCGCACACGTACGCCTGTGTCGAAGATGGAGACGGCAGATTAACTCGAATGTGTATACGGCTCATGTCACTTTTTTTTGTCCTTGATGAGTCCAACGACATTCGTCGCGCGCGTTTATTACACCGTTGTCGTCGTTACATTAATTACCTCGCTCTGATGCGGCTCTATGCGCAACCGGTCCGCAATTGATACCAAAGTTAATTTCCTTTTGAGACGGACGTCTCGGGCTTATCGCGGATATCGCGAGGCATAATTTACATAGATAGACAACTATTTGTAACAGTTATATATATATAATATATAATTGCATGAATGGATAACTATTAACATAACATAAGTAATTAACATTACTATTAACATATTAACATATATATATATATATATATATATATATATATATATATATATATATAATAAAAGCTGTTAATAGTTATCCATTCATGCAATTATAGCATGTAGTATATACAGCGCTCAACTTATCGTTCGATGCAAACGTCTCTGATGATTCATGATCAGCTATGGGCAGCACTCGTATGCATAATGCACTCACGATGCATTGCGATTCCGATATTTGCTGTGCTAAAATTAGAAAATTCTATTTGCAGAATTCTATTCCGACTATAATACTCCTCGTAGAATTGTTGGATTCTATCTTTGACGCACGAAATATTTATTTCCAATTAACCCCCATGCGCTCCTCGGCTGATGTTTCATTCATGACTTCACTGAGTGAAGATAAAATTGTAACTTATACAAGACGGCGAAGTTAGATCTCTTGCGAAACCTTCTCCCTCGTTCAAGAATAAACAATTGAGTAAATTGAATTATGATGGAAGATGGCACGAATATAATCTTTCTCGGAATATCGATATTCGTATTGGACAAAGAAGGAAAGTTCGGTGTTTTTGAAGGCAAGGAGTATCGGAATAAAAACCCGCAAATAAGACGGCAATCGTATCGAAAGTAACGATCAACGTCCATGCGTGCCGAGCCGGGATTAAAGCCGTTTTCGACGAGGAATCTCATCGCGCGTGAGGGAGAGCGTTCGACGAACGTGTATATCTCCGCGATGCAGACGAGCGGAAAAGTGTCCGTCGATCTCGCGAGATAACGAGTACGCGCTCGGCCGCGTTTACCTGCGCTTTACCTGCGTTAACTTGGCTCCTCGCTTACCTGGCCGGCGAATACGCGGGATAAAGGCCGAGCACGCTCTCGCCGGTGCCTACCTTCCAGGCACCGGTAATTGAAGCTGCTCCCGGAATAACGTGCCTAAGTGACAGGTGAACACCTTATACGCGAAGCGCGTACCCCGTGACAGTCGTACGCACTGTGTGTCCGTCCGACGCGACGGCGACGGTTCGCCGTCGCTTTAGAGAGACGAAATATAAAAGCTTAGGTACACGGTAGAGAGAATAAAATGTAATCTTGGCAGTACGAGACGAGACGATGCTCAGGAGAAGTAGCCAATCAGCGGGCGAATATGATTGAAGAATGAAATATGGAGAGGTAGAGAAGTAGTACTCGATGAAAATACTTTAATGCGTTGCGATCCGATTGGAATTAAAGTACCAGAGTAATCCTGTAGGAAAAGAAAAATACTGTACTTCGACCGACAGTCGTCGGCCATTGCGAGTAAAATTCCGCGAATGTGCGCCCGACTCCGAATAGTTTCATCCATTAACAGTGAATTAAGGTTTCACAGACGACACGACATTTTCGACGGGGATTTGAAACGCGCGAGGGATCCAATCGACATCGGCGTCAGACCACTTTCTCGTCGATCTCGGCTCATTCCCGGCGCCCAACACTGACGGGGACAAATTCCCAATCGCGCGTTACCGTCGTGCATTAAACTCCGCGGGGTAATATATCAGGGAATAAATCGTTGAACGTGTTGGAAGCTTTTATAAGATTTTTACAACATGCGCGTCCGTGAAATACTGGCATCGATGGAGGGCGCGGTGAAAGGGAGAGATAGAGGTAGCAGTTGCGAGGGGTGAGGAGTGGTTAAACTGAGTGTAAATCCAGGTATCGTTGGTGTGAGCGGAGAAAAGGAGAGAGAGAGAAAGAGAGAGAGAGAGAGAGAGAGAGAGAGAGAGAGAGAGAGAGAGAGAGAGAGAGATAAAAAGGGGCGAGAGAGGGTTGTTCAGCGGGGATGAAGCGTCTGGCTCATCCTGGGGGATGCAGCGTGTGGAAGGGGGACGCCCGGGTTTTCGCGTGCGTGTGGATCCGCCAATCGGGCTTCAGGACCGCCCGCGATCGCCATAGCAACCCCGGGGGTTGAGGCGATTACGAAACGGGGGTAACCCGATTAAGCGTCGCGACGCCGTTTCTGGAGGCAACGTCTGGGGACGTAACGAGGTGGCTTTCGGGAGTAAGGTAGGAGAAAGGATAGGCCCAAAAGTACGATCTGTCCGAAAGGGGTTGCTCTCTCTATTTGCCCTCTTAATCACTCGTTAAGTGCCGCGACCCCGATGTGGTCCCCCGAGCACGCAGCAATGAGTTTGTCCCTGCTTTTCTGCCTCTCGATTGGTCAACGGTGAATAACAACCTTGAGATGGTCTCGAGGGGTGAGGTGTTTAATGCTGGGTTAAAGGCGAAATATTTCGGTTTGGGGTGTTGTTTAAATCATTTAGATTTAACACGGCGCGAGAACAACTCAAGAATTTACTACGATAGTAACTTGGCCAACTTTCCCTCTCTTTTCAAATTTAAAAGAATAAAATTTACTTCAACTTAAGTTGATTTGTATTAATTAGAATCATACTAAAGCTTAATATGTTACTTTAAAAAGTTAACAATTAATCTAAATTAAATAATTTTTACGTAAAAGCAACGATGCATCTTCAATATATTTTCATTGTATCTTTAATGTTATAAAAATATCAGCATAAGAATCCCATACGTTGGTAACTAAATGCAATGAATTTATGTTATTTATCCCATTCATATTATAATTTTCATCATAATGGCTTCGAAACCGTGAAATCATACGCTTCGTTTCATCTCGCTGCGGAAGTTCACCGTGTCGGGAGCTAATCCGGGTCTTGTCAAAACCGCGCAGCCACGCGAGACGTTAGACAAATATCCCCCGTTTCAACTTTCGATCCACCCCTTTTATCGCGCGTGTGTGTCCTCTCGTGTCACAATGCTGATTTTCCGCGTAGATAGCTTCAAAATGGTGCCCATTCAACCCTTTTCTCACGAACGGCGCGTATATCTAACAGTCAATTCCAGGACAATGCTCCGATCGAGTTTGTCGTCGTCCCCCTCCTTCCCGCGTTTCGTCCCCCTTTTCTTCCAGAGCCGGCAACACGTACCATTGTAACCGGATACTCCCGTTTAGGGGTGGCTCCTTGATACATCGGGGGGTTGACCGGGCTTATAACTAGTTGCCACTTAATTTGGCAAACCTGGCAAGAACGAGGGGTTCGATTCGCCCCCCTGTCTCTCGGCGGAGGGATTGGCCCGCCGAGATCGATTGACGGATACGTCGGTATTCGCATGGGACGGCCACGCTCGAATTACCTCTCGTTGAAACGTCGCGTATCTTCTGCCTTCATCGGGTTCGTCGAAGAATTATCTTCCGCGGCGCGTTCCCTCCACCAAAACGATCGGAAATCTTTAACTGCACTTTCTCTCAATAAGTTCTCCTGCCTATCGTGAACCGAGCATCTCAAAATATTTGAGCTCATTCTTTAATAATCATGAATTTTTAGACTCAATTATTTTGTATGTTATTTTATATATGAAATCAAATCTGCTGTTCTTCCTTTAAATGTTCATTTTCACGACGACTTTTATAAATAAAGCATAGTTCAGACTTAACACTTAACAATTTTGTATAACTTTTAGTTTGAGATAATTGAGATAATTTCTTCTGACTCAACTTTTTTGGAAAGGATTAATTCAAGTACACATCCTAAGCCACAATGATATATTGGAATTATTGCGTTATGTGATCATGTAAGATTCTTGAAAAACTAACTGCAGCGAAATCATTGATGTTTCAGGTGAAAGTATGGTTCCAGAATCGGCGGACGAAACACAAGCGGATGCAACAGGAGGAAGAGGCGAAGGCCCAACAGCAATCGGGGGGGGGGGGGGGGGGGGGTGGGGGTGGAGGTAACGGTGGCAATGGAAACGCTAACAACAACAGTAACAGCAAAAACACTCATCACGTCAGCAAATGGCAGCAGGAGACTGGTGACTATCATCATGAAGAGGAAGAGGAAGAGGAGCACATCGATCCAGAAGCCGACGAGTGCTCGAGTGGCTCTGAAGCGTAGCTAGACGTTCTCTGCCTGGATTAGGATCCAGGATTGAACAGATTGTCCTGAACAGACTCCAATGAGAATTAGATCGAGATGGAAACCATCCCAGAGAATCGCGACACACTGATCGACTTGATTTGTTCGAGTTCCAGTTGAGCGTCGAAGGATTGGATCTATTTTGAAATCGCAGCGTCTACGATCGTGTTAGCGTTATGCGCAGGAGGTAAATAGCAGTGAGTGAATTCTTATGGAATAGTCATCGCGCGGTGATCTTCGTATCGAATTACGCAGTCGAGGCTTCGGGTACGAATCCCGTTGTGAAAGAAAAATCGGAAATTTCGGAATTGGTCGCGTCGCCGGCCGGTTGACAGCGACGTCGGTTTGACAGCGATTAGCGGCAATACGGTACTCGTATTGCGACTGAAAGTCATCGAATATGAGAATAGTTGGACAGTTTTAAAGGTTTTAAAACGAAAGACGAGAGAGACCTTTTCGTCAACGTAACCGCCGAAGAGAATTTGTCGAATTCTATTCTGAACTTGTGCCAGATGGGTCAATAGAGTAAATATACTGTTGTAGGGTCCAGTCATTTTGATATTTTTAAAAATATCGAATTGGTAAGACACCTGTCACGGGTTAAGCGAGATTTTTAGGTTTGAACGCTGGCTGAAGTAATATTTCTCGTAATAAATTCTTTACAGTAATTTAAATAAGACGTTTATTAGCATCCTATTTAAATTACTGTAGTTACAAAGTTAAATCGATTTAAGTAGAGGAGGCTTTTACTATTTCAACGGAAGCTGTGTTTTAAAGCCGACAAACAATCGGCGCGCAGTTTACTGAGTTTGGAAAAAAGTATACCAAATTTACACAGAAATAATATTATTATTAGGCTATAATCTAACCTAACCAAGATACAGCTCGGACCGTAAATAGCATTTTGTTCTAAATTAATTTGTTTCCTCTTCTAAATATTTTTAAAACTTACATATATCATAACTTTATATACAATATTTCGAGATACAAAAGTTGAATCTGTGGGTGTGAAATATCGCTCACCGTTCAATTCTATTCTTTTACGACTAATGCAATGATTTCGCGTACGTACATGAAAATACATGAAAGTAATACATAAAATATATGAGCTCGATGAAAAGGACTCTATATCGTATGTTTATTCGTCGATAGGCGACGCAACGAGGCAGAAGTGTCTTTTATTCTTTTCTTCTTTAGACCGGAATCACGATATAGTTCCTCAGGATCTCAGTTTCGCAGCGTTGCCGAAGCCGAAGGCCAAGGAACAATCGCGGAAATTCGTAAATATCGTCGCGATTAGAGCGAGACGTTCTCAGGCCAAACTGTCTTATAACGAGTTCGGAAGAAGCGATGGAGAAATCGAAAGCGTCTATCGGAAACTGACTAATGGAGGCATTGTTTGCCGGAGACGACGAAGCTAAATGGACACGCTTCCGGCGGAAAGCGGCGAGATGCTCGCTATCGAGAACGATCGATGCCAACTTTAACAAGGCGAATCATTTTTTGGTTGACTGGTCGAATCGGAATTGTAGACATTTTTGCGACTTTAGGGGGAAAAGTACTTTTCATTTAATAAAAGCTTACTTTCCGTTTTCTTGCTTCATAAATTTTTCTTTAACTAAACTTTTAACTGGAAAGCCGTTCGCAATAGTTACTTAGAAAGTTGCACGCAATGTGGTTCAAAAGCGATTGTTATAACTTAGAAAAATGGTCTGAAATGAGGCTCGATCGTTCGCTATGATACATCGAGGTGATACGCCGATTGCCATCGGGGTGCGCCATTTACGTTTATTGCAATTATATATTTCTTGCCATACAAAACAATTCGCCATAAAGATTAACTTGCGTCGGGCGGTGTAAATAAAGTGTAGCACAAGAGTGAGCAGTCCTGGAGCCTTTCCCAGGAACATCCTGACGCTTCTCGTTTTCGAGAATGTGAATGTAAATATAGATAAACTGAGAAAAGAGGCGTACGAGATACACTGAATACATGTTTGTATGCAGAAGCGTAAGTAAAAAAAAAAACGAAACTTGACAGAGAGTGCCAAACTTCGTAAACCCCTAGCGAGAGAAGAATCCAGTGTAAACGAGTTGTATTTGCAATTGTATTTAAGTCGTTATTCTACGCGAGCGAGCAGTATTTCTTTCGTCGATCGATGTTTCGAGATATGTACTGACAGTTTAAATTATTATTACTAATGTTATAGACCGAGATTCCGTTGCGCCATAACGGAGCCGTCGCAGTAGTAGAATATCAATCTCGGAATCATTATATTGATGTATCGACATATTACCTCGATATTTTAATATTATCGAACAGCGCGTTACATGAGTCTCAGGCCGGTATTTACAATCCGTTCATATTTTAAGACCGTCTTAAGTAATGTCTTAAGATGCTAATATGGTCATTTTATTCGCTGGATGGAGTCTTAAGACTGTCTTTGACCAGACTTAAGACGATCTTAAATATAATATCTAACTATGAATACCGGTCTCAGACTTTAATTCGATAAGTTTTCTTATCAATTTCATCAGAAACCTATTCCTCAAGAAAGAGACGTCGAGTTTCATGCAGGAAACACACATGTCTACTCCGCTCAAGAATCCGGCCGGTTGTGGCGCAAGGATTTTCGCTTGTAAATAATCCTGTAAATAGCAAATTGTGATTTTACTCGAGTGCAGAGCCATAGAATTGTACGACCATCGAATGACTCAGTTCGTGTTCTCTAGCAATATAGCGAAATAAATTAAACCACCCATGAAAACGTTCTGCTTTTATCTCTCCAGTAACCTGCGAATCCTTAAAATATTCTTCGCTATAAAAAAAGCAAAGAATTGTGTGTGCTGCGTGAAATTAGATATAATAAAACCAAAGATATTCCAATATCGTTTTTAATGCAAGGAGATATGGAAAGAGCTGTGTTGGAAATCTTTCACGCGCATTTCTGTATGTTGTATACGGTAAAGAAAAAGGAAAGTTAAAAAATTCTGACGGTATCCAGATGGCAAATTCGATGCTGTGAACACCGACTCGAGCTTGTATTTTCTAGGCGATACCTCGCGTGCACATACTTATACGCGCAGAGAGTTCCGACGAAATTGTTTGTTTTCCGCATGCGGTAATTTCTCGCGCAGCGTATTATTTTAGAAGGCAGTCCCGTATGCGAAAAATTGAATAATTTTCGCCGTCGGATAAGTCGATAAGGAAACTTGCGCCGCGGTAATTCCTGAGTACGCGACATTATCGCAACGGCCGACCGTAATTACCGGGACGCGCGCAAAGGGGTGTCTTCGCGCCGCAAATTGTTTTTCGCGAGGGCACCGTCGCGTCGGGTGTCGGGTCCCCGCGCGCCGACAACGTGAGGCCTCGACGACGAGAAATCGCCGGTACCTATCCATATGCGGCCTGCCGCGTCTGCGGGAGCGATCCTTGTCGATAATCGCTTTATAATCGCCGCTTCCAAAAGGAATAATTTACTACGTCGGACGTGGAACTCTCTCCCGTTCCCCCGTAATTAAACACGGCGGATCTCTCCTTTCGTGCCCGGAACAACGGATGTGCGGACGCGGCCAATGTCGGTAGATCCTACTCGGAGATTCGCTATCATTCACCCTTATTATTTTCGTCGGCGTCGGTACGAAGAGATAGTTACCCCCGAAAAATTAATCGCCGCTTTTATTCAATACTCTTTATTTGTGAATTTTTTACAAAATTTGATATTGATTTTTCATCGACAGAAATGTTGGGGGGTTTCACGTTATTAATGCTTCAAAATCTTTAGGAAATTTATGCAAAATTGTGAGGCTGTGTGGGTCGAGAATCTGGAGAATTTTAAGAGAGTCAATTTCAGAACCTTTCTCATTATATTATACATCGTGATGCATTTAAATTTCATGACATCGACACGTGGTGTTGTAAGGCAGAATTCATAATTTACTCAATGAAAATTAATAGCACGGTGGTAACGTGACTTGTAGGCCATTATCGACATATTAATCGGTTCATGCTAATGAATTTGTAAATTGAAAGTACGCGCAGTTATATAAATACAGTTATATATACGGGTTCGCAAACCTGTAGGACGAAATAAGATTTCACAAGAAAAAAACGAGAGAGGGGAAGTTACACGTAACAAATTATACGATAACAACATAAAGTAAAAAGTCTATAAAGTGAATTTTTACAGATCCATCTTTTTAATCTCTGTTATTGAGAAGTCGGATAATCAAACTATAACTCTTTTTAAAAAAAATTGACGGCATGTTTAAAAAAATCCTGTTGCTACATATATCTTTCTTAATACAATTATTTAATAAATATCTTTGTGTACTGCGTAAACCATAAATGAATATAAATGCGGCTACAGATATCTCCTCATGCAATTTCAGTATGACACATTTAATGAAGTTTTAACGAAGTACGTCGTACTATAAATTTATTCTCAACATTTCCATTGCAAATTCCTTCAAAATCACCGTGTTCCCGCGGCTATTAATCATTAATTGTCTCATTGCGTATTCGACGGGGACTCGTTTCGACGGACCGGAAAAGGAGCCAACGATCGCCAAGATTACTTGACCGATTTCTACGTCGCGCGCTCGCTTATCGATCGATCAATTAAGCGGCCAAATTAAAAGCGCGCGCGCGCGCGCGCGCGGCAATCGCCGGGATACAAATCGTACGAGTGCTAATGAAGCGCATTAATTGGAATGTTGACCGGGGCTCGTTAATTAAATGGCTCACGGGCCGTGGTAACCGTCGTGAAGGCGTGCGATCGATCGGATCAATCAGTGATCGATAATAATTAATAGATCTCATTGTTCGCCGGTGCGCATTTTTTTCTGATCCTCGCATCCACGAAGATTTTTTCTGGACGATTCAGCTTTCATTAGCACGGACGCGCGGGGTTCGTAATCGTTTATCCGCAAATTAATACGAGAGACAACGTATCGGTTAAGCGTGCTTCGCGCTTCGTAAGTTCCTAGTATGCCGATTTTTCGACGTACTCGTTAAACGCGAATTTACGACGCGGCCATAAGCGTCGCTCTCGCGATATTACACACGTTTTAAAATGTCCGATAGGGAGGACTTCCGCGGGAACGCGCGTTTTTACGACAAACGATATTCACAAGCGGAAACTTGATCGGACGCAATATGCGTGATTGTGTTAGATCGACGTGATAAAGTTGTCGCCGTTAGTATAGTTAGGTACTCGGAATGCCACGCGCTGTCTCTCGCGCCTGAGACGATCTTAATCGCGCCCGAGCGCTATTGCGATAACGGCGCGGTTTAAAAATTATCGTGCGAGCTCTATCGCGAGCCGCGCACGGCGGAGCCTTATCGTATTTCGCGTGCCGGTAAATGAGTTAAAATAATACGTTTCATTAAGTCCCGCGGGATTAGTTTCGCTGTTACGAGCGTGCCGGCAGATAAGCCGGCCGGATTACATGCGCGCATAGGACGCAAGTGCACGAGGAAGGATACGCCGCATTCTTGCGAAAGTTGAGTTGTTCGCATGCACAAATTGTTGTTTGCCGTAGGGTCACGCGTCAACTTATATAGCGCCAACGCCACCGACGAGTTTCAGCGACGCGACGGTCCGAGTCCCCTCGAACACGGGCGCGATTCACACGCGCTATATCGGGTTACCATGTTTTACGATCAGCTATTTAAAAAAAAAGGGAAAATCTCTCTTCTCTACATGAAATGAACTATGTTGTTTTGTTCTTCCTTGCTCGCATCGTCTTTCTCCTTCAATTAGAGATCGGGTTTGATTAAGATATATTAAATTTGAAGTATAAGAGAGTATGTGTCTCAATTTTCTTTTAAAAAATGGGATAAATTTCAAGAGTCTCACGAGTCTCACAGTCATGAATCGGAGCGATTTAGGCGTATTTATCAAGCCGCAATTCACGCAATTGATACCTCGTTTGCCTCTCCGATGAGGTAACGCCTACGCCAATGTGCGAGGGGTAGAACAGAGACGTGTTCGGTTTGTTGGGCGAAGAGCGCACCACGTAAGGCCCGCGGCGCAGGTGAGGAGAGTGGCCTGGCGGCCGAGGAGGAGGCAGACAGCAGCGGAGGAGGCGGAGGTGGCGGGAACGGAAAGGAGGAAAGGGAGAGACAGAGCTCGGAAGGGGTGGGGGAACGTCCGAGGGTTCAGAACTGCTAATTATGTAAATTGCCGGTGTTGCAAATTACCCTCACAGTTTGCGTTCATTCTGCACACAATCCACACGGTCTCCGCACACCTCGCATGGAATCCATCCACTTGGATACTGTTACTTCCTCCGGCGAGGAGGAGAGAAAGGGAGGAACGGAGGAGGAGGAGGAGGAGGAAAAAGAGGAGAGGAGAGGGAAGATGGCGGCGGTTAGAGCGAGATGGATGATCTCCCCGAGGACGGAGCGAGAGCCTCTCTCGTTCGGTGCCTCCTTCTTACCTCTCATTCATCATCACTAGTACTTGACGATGCGCGGGTACCAGTATCCGCTAACAGATACCGATGTCGGACAGCTTCTAGCGAGCGATCGCCAACGTTTTCATCTCGGGTGTCGCATTACCGTGAACGGGGAACGCGAACCGTCTAAGGGAAAATAGAATAAATATCCGACACGCGCGAATCCGAGGACGACAACAATAAAGTATCTGGAGGATAATAAGATAAATCATTAAAAATTCGATTTGCTACGCGATATTAAAAACGTGATAACAGCCAGATGATTGTTCTCTACGACATTGGACGTAGGAATATTGTAAAAGTTAAAAAAAAATCTATCCTGGTATTCAACTGTCACTATACTCAGGCTCTACCTTTCAACTTCGTTTCGCGTAAATTCAACAATGTATCGTCCGTTAACCGTTTGCACGTCACGAAGAAAAAGACGAAAAGTACGGACAGGACGAATTATATTTCTGGCACTTATATCTGACATTACACTTGCAGTTCCAATCCGCAATTTGTCTTGTCAATCGTGAACGAGATGGATAACGAGAGAGATCCACTATGCGTGCCGCAATGTTGCGACTGTCAAAATCGAACGTTTTTGTCGAGCCAGACGAGTGAAACAGATGCAAATTCGTCCTGCGAGACATAAAGAGACAGAGAGATATAGAAAGGAAGAAAAAGAAAGGAAGACAAAATTGAAGCGAAGGAGCAGGGGGAGAGAAGTCGCAAGCGAGGGAAGAAGAAGAAGTATTCTCTCGCGACCTTTTTTCTCCTTCATCAAAAACCGGTACTCAACCGGGCACGGGATACGTAGCTCATGGCGAAACGGACGGCCGGCCGGCCGTCGGAAAAGTTAGCTGAACGACTGTTTTCATTTACTACGCGAGTCGCGCAGATGACAGCAATTGGATCGCGCGGGACGCAACATCGTCGAAGACGCAACTGTAGGCTGTGCAATCGCGTGACTACGATGAGTTTTACTTCGTTCGTGCTGCAGGTGACGCGAACTTAGTTGCATATCACGAGGAACAGATAGCGCTTGGTATATAGTACGCTTGGAACGAATATGACGATATGAGGGACGGTATCGCGGGGAGTATCGCGCAAAGCGATCGTGTATGCAAATTTGTGGATGGCGCGCGTATTATGGTACGCTATAATTAATATATGTCAATGAGCGCGTTAACGAGGCACTTATGGTACGCCGGGCGCATTGTTGGGAGAAGCGAAAATACGTGCACGGCGCAAAACGCGGCATTACGATGAGAATTTATAGCTTCGGCGAATTCAGGTCGACCTGACTGTGGGCTAAACTGCA